CTGGCCACTCCTGTCTGAGTAGGGAGCAGCAGACTAGGTCCAGAGAGCACACATGTGGCTGTGGCCTCAGCTTCCCCCTCTGTGAAATGGGGACAGCAGCCAAGGGCAGCTCCAGGAAGACCCAGCCAGGGACATGGTGGCTGGGTGGGCAGGAGCCCAGCCAGGTGCCCGAGTGTGGCCCAGCCAGCCTCCGTGAGGGCCCAGGCCTGGGTCTATGGGGTAGGTGATACCAATCGGCGAGGCAACAGCTGCCTCCAGGAGGAGGCCTGTCGATGGCAGATAGGCTGGCCGGGAGTATTATTCACGAGCCCGTCAAGCCCCAGGAACGTCTGGTTGGCATAGAAACAGGAGATAAGGGGTACAATTAATGGCATCGCATTCCCTCCTCCTTTCTTCCCCAACTGACCCATTTAAATCGCTGGCGGTGCTGGTGCCATGCCGGGCTCCCGGTGACCTCCGGGGAGGGGCCGGCTGGGCGGCCAGGACTAGGCCAGGCTCAGGCCCCCGGGTGGGGCTGGGTGAAGTCTCCCCGGGGACCACTACTGTGCGGGAATGTCTCAGGAAGGAGGCCATGGGAGACTCAGCAAGGGCAGGACTGGGAAAGACCCCAGAGCACCTCTGCTCCCAGAAGCCCATTCCACAGCTGTGGAGACCGAGGCCTGGAGAAGCCCAGAGGCAGCAGAGGGGAGAGGGCTTCAGGAAAGCAGCACGGTGTTCGTGGACATACTGGTTCAGAGTGAGGGGCCAGGCTGCCTCCCTTCCAACTCTGCCTCTGCCACTTTCTTGGGAGAGAAACTTAACCTCTTTGTGCTTTAGTTTCTTTACATATAAATGACAACAAGAATTAAGATGTGCTTAAGCTCAGTAAGTATTGCTTACTACTAATATTATTATTACTATCAAATGACTGACTGTCTTCCCTGGGGCCTAGGAATGCAGGAACACCGAGAACCGTCTGGAGCGGGGTGAAGCCCCGCCGTGGGGGGCGAGGGGCCGGACAGCGGAGCACGCCAGGCTCAGGGGCAGGGCTGTGAGCAGATCCCTCCGGGTCTGCAAGCCCTCTGTTCCCTTTGCTCACTGTGCTCAACCCTCATTCCCCCAGGGCTCTGAGAAGGGGTCCAAAGCTGGCTAAAGGCTGAACGTAGGTGCCTGTCACACTTGTTTTTCAGAGGCTGTGACAGGTCAAGTAACCTGTCCACGACGGCTCAAGTCAGAGGCAGCCAGGATGCCACAGCCCCCTCTTTCCCAGCTTCTCTGCCATCACAGTGCGGTGCGGGGCATTTCAGGGTGGCCCCTGGGAGCAAGGCAGACGCCAGGTGCCTCTGACAGCGGGAAAGAAAGCGTGCCGGGCTCTGCGCAGACAGCTGCGCTTGCGCCCGTGAGCGCGCGCACAGACCGCTTCATCTCTTCTCAGGGCCTGACCCAGGCTCTCCGGAACTGGCTCTTGCCAGAAGGCACAGCCAGTCCCACGGGTGGGTGTCAGGCTGCTGGGGAGAGCAGGCAGGTGACTTTGAAGCTCGGAGTAAATTAGTCATCCTGTGACCACCAATAATTTGTTTAATCAAACTCTGAGAATGTGTGAAAAACACCATTATCTGAGATGGAGCTGGAGCAGCTGTCAGGGCCTGGACTGGTGGGGACTGTCGGGTCAGGCGGGCCTCAGTTTCTTCTGGAAAATCCTTCCCTGGCTGGCCTCAGTTTCCCAGTGCTTGGTATCTGGGATCCACGGTCCCCAAGGGCCCTCTCACTGTAAAGGGACTCTGTAGCCCCTGGATAGCCCTAGTCTGACTTGAGGGTTCTCTCCTGTCCCCATTTTTCAGAAACAGAAACTGAGGCCCAGCCCCACACTCCCTTTGACCTCATTCTTGCCTCCTCACATAGGCTGCCCCTTCCCTAGCATCATGTGACTCCCAGCCCTCCATCTGCCCCACAACAGCCAGGAATTATTATCCCATTTTTCAGAGTTGGAAACTGAGGCCTGTCCATTGTCCCTGGGGCACCCCCATAGCGAGCCTCTTCCTGACCTCTCTGGAAGTCCTTCCTGTTCCCAAAAGTGTCCTTGACTACCTGATGTGCCCCATCTGCTCTCTACCCTGTATCCTGTGTGTCTTGACTTTCAGGAGTCCCAGGCCTCACCCCTTCCATCTCCTGCTGAAGTGTGACCCAGTGCTTGCATACAGCAAGTGCTCCATAAGACATTCTGAGTGAACCAAGGCAAATCCACAGACCTTCTCTCCTGATTTGGAGGACCTGCTCAAAAAGAAACCAGCTCCCCGGGTCCCTCTAAAACCCAGCCTGGGCAATGGAAACCACCTCGATTTTTTCCCCAAGCAAACTCCAAGCAGGTTCCACCTCATACTTGCCAGAAAACGACACCAACCCCAACATGATTCAAGAGGAAAAGCACCATCTCTCCTGTCGTAGGTGCCAACCCCACCTCTGCTTGTCTCACACCATCTAATAGAAATTAGGGGCGGGGTGTCCTCCCCTGCCCTCCCCCATCCCGGCCAGCACAGAGTCACTTTTCTTTCATTTTGACGGACTGTACCACCCGCAGGGGGAGGATCAACTTCTTGGCAATTAAGTGTGTTTGGGATGAAAACTCGCCCAGGCAGACCAACCCTGGCGCGGAAGCCCACTCCCCCGGCCCCGCCCACGTCCGAGGCCCCCACTCGCCCCAGCCAGACGCCCCCGCGCTGTTGTTGCCTTGAACCAGCAGGGCCTGGTGGCCATAGATAAGGACTCTTATCGTTCTTGGCGATCGCCATCCGGCCGACTGGCCCCGGAGTTTATCAGAGCTCACATCGACCCGGGCGGGAGGAAAGCTCAGCGGGCCGGGGGAACCAGGGGTCCCGGGCCGCGCTTCGCCCAGCGCTCCCCGCCAGCGCAGCCGGGCCTATCATCGCAACCATCTGGCCGGCCAAGGCCGCGCTCCCGCCTCGCCCTCCCCCGCTCCCACGTTTGAAGTTAATAAATGGAAGCGCCTATCGCCGCCGCCATCGGTTACTCGCCTTATCAGCGCGGCACATCTATCTCTGCGCGGAACAAAAGGCGCACAGAGGCGCGGGCAGCTGCGCCCCGGCTTTGGGGCGGGGGAGGGTGGCGGCCGCCCCAAGAGCTCTACCTACTGCCGTCCGTTTCGCGGCCTGGTTGCAGGTGAGGCTGGCGCGGCGGACGCACAGCTGCGACGGCCGCACGCACAGCCGCGGGCAGAGGGCAGGCGGGCGGGCGCCGCCGCTTGGTGACAATCAGCGCTCGCATCTTAACGCGCCAAGATCTGCCATTGGGAGGAGGCGCCCGGGGCCGCAGGCAGCAGGGAGAGTGCCCGGCCCCGCCTCCTAGGCCCTGCCCCCTCCTCTGCCCTGGTCTTGGGAACGCAGAGGGTGGGCATTAGGGTCTCCCCGTGCGCGTGCTGCAGTCTCGGTTCCCAACTCGCCCCGCTCTGCCGACCCAATTGGGCCCCGGCGCTCGCCCCGCTCTAGGCCTTATCTATGCTGGCGATCGGTTCCCAACCTGCGATCTCCCTGCCCGCGCTATCTGCATTTCTCATCACGCTGAAACACACACACACATACGCACACACGAGAACAGACCGAACAGTGGCGCACAGGGGAGGAGGGGAAAAAGAAACCAGAGAACGCGCGCAGATCGGGACCTGTGGGTGGTTTTACCTAATACTTGGGTTGACTTGATAGAAGGCGACTTTCTGAAAATAAGTCCGGCTTGCACATGGAGGGCGTCGGATTACGGATTACGGGAACCAGGATTCATGCCTGTGTTCCCCCCTCCCCAGGACCTCAGAAGTAGACACTCTCCCAGGAGTTCGCACCTACGGTCCTGGTGGCAGTGGTCATGTGGACAGAAGTGGCCCCTCAGTGCCTGGGGCTGGGCAGTGGGCTGGCCCCGACTACCTGCCCTTCTAGCCTGGGTGATGCGACCCCCGGAGGAAGTCCCTGCCTCTGCCCTGGACACCGCAGTATTAAGTTATGGGTCTGGGGCATGGAGCCGCGCTTCCTATGCGCTCGACCCGTTGCTCCTCCCGAAGTTGCGTGGCTCTCAAGAATGCGGGGCGCTCTTATCGCAGGGGCTTCGGCAGTGTGGACTCAGTGGCCACCCAGACCCCCCGAGGAGTGGCCCGCAGGCTGGATGGGCGAGAAACTTGGACACACACAGAGGCGACCCTAGCCCGGGGCGAGTCCCCAGGAGCCCCCTCTCTGATTTGGGGTGCGGGGTTGTGCCCGCAGGCATCCCAGCGCACCTTCTGCTGCTGGTGCGGCCTTGGCCGAGTCGGACCTTCAGGAGACTGTCTCCCAGCAGGGAAGTCTCCAATTTGAGACCCCGGCGAGAGTAGCTGGGGTCTGAGTAGCTGGAGCCAAGTGTTCGGGCTGCCGTAGCTGCACGCCACCGCCACCCCCACCCCCTGCAAGCCACGTGGCTCCTTGGCTAGCAAGGGTCTTCGGGCATGAGCCGCTCCTCACCACTCGGCCGCGCATTTCCACGAGGCCGCCGGTGTCCCCTCTTCCTCCCAGGTCTCTTTCTCCCTCTACATACAAAGCCTGGGAGAGTCAACCGTTCGAGATAAGATCACAATTTCAGCCCGTCCCGACAGAGCGATCTTATCAGGATGGGACTTGCAGAATGGAATATTTTAAACTTTATCTGAGCCCAGATCGGGGCCGCCTTATCGCCGCACCATCTTGGGGATGTAGGGGAGGGGTCGGTCGCGAGGTGGGCGCGCCCAAGACACCCCGCTCCCGGCCCTTTGGGAGGACACCTCTCCGGGTCGGACCCCCGGTGCCGAGCCCAGACGCAGGGGCCCAGCCCGCCGAGGAGATTAGATTACGGCGCGCTTGGCACAGAGCGCGGGGGACGCGGCGCGGGGTGAAGGTCGGCGGCGCCGCGGGCAGAGCGGGGCGGGCGGGGGGTGGGAGGCGGGCGGGGGGCCGGCGAGGGACGGCTGGGGTCGGGGACGGCGGACGGGCGAGCAAAGTTTGACTCACGCTTGATCTGCCGGGGATTGCTCTGTTTCCTTCTGGACATGTCTCCGGCGCCGCGTGCCCTCCCGGCGGCCGCCTCTAGCCCCTGGCAGGCGGCGGCGGGCGGCGGGGGCGCGGCGGAACCGCGGGACGGCTCATGCCCCCGGTCCTTGGTCTCCACGGCGCCCCGGCCCGCACCCCCAAGCAGCAGCGGACCGTCCGGAGCCGCTTCGGAGGCCGGAGGCTCGGCCCTGCGCTGCAAGCGCGCGGACCGCCGGAGGCGGCGGGCGGCGGGCTGCTGCCAGTCCTCGGCTCCCGCGCAGACGCCGCCGCCGCCGCCGCCGCTCAGCTTTTCTCAATGGAACCTGCGGGCAGCGCGCGGCGAACCGGGCGGCTTGGACCCTGGAGCTCGGGGAGGGCGGGCCGGCAGGGGCGGGACCTGCTCGTCAAGGGCGCCGCGCCTCCAAACCCGCCTGCCGCCCTGGCCCCGCCCATGGAACAGAGTGCCCGCCCCCGCCTGCTTTGAGCTGGCCCCGCCCCTCGCTCAGCGCCCCGGTCCGCCCCTGGTGTCGTGGCCCCGCCTTCACTGCGCGGTCTTCGCCCCGAGGCCCCGCCCACGGCCCTGGATAGACCTCTGGCCTCGACTCCTCCTTCGGTTCTGTAGCTTTGTCTCCAGGCCTTTCTGGGACCTTATTCTATCTCGCCGGGACCGCGGCACTGCATCCGGCCCTCCTCCAGGCCTCTCTGGACCGGCCCCTCGGCGCTAGCCCTGCCTCCCGGCTCTAGACCTGCCCCAAGCCTGACTGAATCAGATTGGGCCCCTGGATGCTGAGGCCCCGCCTCACCCCCGCCCCAGCGGCCTGGCTCCTCCCTCGCTCCGCCCTGGCTCCCCAGGGCTCCGCCCCCTACTCTTACCCCGCCCCCAGATTCTCGGTCCTGTTCCGAAGAATTGGGCACAGTCGCCTTTCCCTTGCACTCGGGAAGCGGCAGGTGAAGGGTCAGGAAACTCAATGCCTTGACACCTCACGTTTCTCTTGGGCCCGATTTGGGAGCCAGCTCTGGCCAGTGAGGGCTTCCGTCCAAATCTTTGGTGGAAGCAGCATCCCGGGATCCGCCACCGAGTTGGACGAGACCCCCCGAATGGAGAGAGGGGACCTCGGGTTCTCCTCCCTTGTGCTGAGATCTGGCAGGGAATGTGGGAAGGTGCGGAAGCTAGGGGCCTGTCCTGCACCCTCTTCCAAGCAGCCAACGGGCATCACCCCTCGGAGCCTCTACTCCATCGGGTGCTCCTTCTGGAGCCCAGGAAGCAGGCCCTTCAGCGGGCTGAGCGAACCCGCGCACCCCTCGCCGCCTGGGCAGTCTGAAGGGAGTGAGGGTCCCAGGGTCAGTACTGTCTGTTCCAGTCTTGGAAATGGAGGCGACCCTCCCTGTCCTTTGAGATATGTTCACGGGACCCCAGAGGCCCCGCATTTCTAGTGAGTCTTGCTCAAAGTCACAGCATTAGGGTCGTCCGGGAGGGAGCACAATTGTATTCTTAAAATAAAAAAGATTTTATTTATTGATTTTTAGAAAGAGAGGAAGGGAGAAAGAGAGGGAGAGAAACATCAATGTGTGGTTGCCTCTCCCTCGCCCCCCACTGGGGACCTGGCCTGCCACCCAGGCATGTGCCCTGATTGGGAACTGAACCAGCGACCCTTTGTTTTGCAGGGCGGTGCTCAATCTACTGAGCCACACCAGCCAGAGCACAGTTATATTCTTTTATTTTAATATTCTTGGCTTGAATTTGGTGCCTGCCTCCTTTACCCTATATTCACACACACAAAATAGGGAGATGTTAGGGCCCCAGGGCTACCAGGTAGGATTTTTGCAGAGTCCCACCCATCTGATGGAAGATAATCATCATCACTGTCACATGCAGAGGCTGGCTGAGTGCAGAGCTGTCTGCCTGCAAGACCCCCCACCCCCACCTCATTCTGACCCCTGTAACCTTTGTCCCCAATCCATGGATAAGAAGAAGTGTTATCCCCAGAGCCTGGGCACTCTCTCCTGCCCTGCCACTACTCTCAGGTGGTCTCTGGGAAGTAGAGTGGCAGGCAGGGCAGGAGGCAGAGGTCCACCCTGGGACCACCCACTGCCACTGGGCAGACAGGAACACTAAGGCTGGGAGGCCAAGAGACCGGCCCAGGGTCACCCAGCTCCCTACCCGGGTAGGCCTTCCAACAGCTGCCTCATGCTGTATCCGCTCACTGAGGAGCATGGAGCCTTGCTCACTGAGGGGATACACTGGCTGGTTCACTCAGCACAAGGCTCCCACAGTGTTTGTTGACAGAATGAGGCACTTCACCTGTCTGTGCTTCCCACTGAGCTTACTGCCCTCCCAAAGTTGGGGACTTGGGAATCAGAGGGATTACTGGAGGCCATGAGCTATGTCTGGGGCTCCATGAACCTCAAAGTTGGCGCTGCTGAAATATCTGTGTTAAGGAGGATTCTGAGGATCAGTAGGAGAGAGATCCATGACCTATTATTGATATCTGTCTAAGGTGCAGGATGAGAAAATAAGCATCACTTTGGCCACTTCTTTGCCCATAAACAGGACCCAAGAGGAGAAACACATCCAAATCACCCATGGATTTAGGAGCAGAGGCAGGTCAGAAACAGAACCTGCTGACCAGGACTGGCTACATCATTTTTGGGGCCCAGTGTAAAATGAAAATGTGGGGGCCCCTTGTTCAAAAGTTGAGGATTTCTGGGGCAGTGACAGCAGCAGAGTGTGGGAAGAAGCCATCTTCCCACAGGCCCATGAAGTGCCGTAACAACCCTGGACCCAGGTGAGAGCAGCTTCTGGAGCACTTTCCTTCTATGCTTTGCCCCCCAATCTGCTCTGAGGGGTTGTTTTTATCCCTGTTATACAGAAGAAGAAACTGTATTGTTGGTGATCAATGGTGATGCCACGGGACCTGAATATACTACTAGCCCTCAGAGGAGGTCTGTTGATAAAGGTGAACTGAGGAAAGAGGAACAAGCAATGTTGAAAGGAAGGCCTGGGTTAGTCCAGAGTAGGAGTGCCTGCCTCTGGCTGGGGAAGTCAAGGAAGGCTGCCTGGAGGAGGTGACATCTGAGTGGGACTTTGCAGGAATTCCTAATCAGGTGGGAGAGGAGGAACAGGGTGTGGGGTTGCTGAGTGTGTCTTCCCTGGCCATCTCCATCCCGCATGGACTGCCCGTTGTGAACTCTAATTTTCACCTATCCCTGTGTGCCTGTGAGGAGTGCCAGCATTCACACCCGAAAGTCATTAGTGGAGTAAACAGAACGGCATTCAGTCTGAAAGGGAGCTGTCAATGCTTGCTGTGGAGCTGGGAGGGGCTTTGCCTGGAGCTGGGCAGCCCTGACCATGGTCTGGTTGTTTCATGCTCACTGGATTCCAAGGCTAATAGCAGGCTTTCTGGAGGCCTCCCAGGAGGCTCCACGGGTGTCTGGGCCTAGGAAAGGCTCCTGAGCATGGCTCTGTCCTGGATGCCCAGTCTAGGGGCGATGTCGTTGTTGTATCACCAGGATTTTCTAAGCCCTTCCTTTGGGCTGGTTCATATTCTCTCATTGGGTCCTTGTGCAACCCCTTGCTGGTTACACCCATCAGGGTCACCCAGGCAGACAGTGGCAGAGCTGGGCCTGGGACACAGTGTTCAAGGCTGTGGTGGTGATGAAGATACCAAGGCTCAGAGTGGTCCTCCAGCTCAGGCATAGCAGAGCTTCCTGCAGCCCCAGGCAGGCTGACTCCAGAGCCCGTGCTCTTAACCCTGGCCTGGGAGTCTGGATAACTGGCTCGGAATCCTGTTGCTGTCACTTTAGAGGGCGGGATCTGAGCAACCTGGTCCTCGGTTTCCTCACTGGTAAGTGTGGGCAGCCCCTGACCCCTCAGGGCTCCTCTAGCCTCGGTGCCATTGTGGTTCTGGGCTCATGTCTGGTCTACCTCTGCCCTCTGACATGTGGGCTGGCAGTCTGTGGGCATACCCTGCCCCTGGAGGGTGGCCCAGGCCTGGGAAGTTGCTGTGGCTGGGGGAGGGAGGTAATTGTGGCTGGGGGAGGGAGGTAATTGTGGCAGGTCCCCAATGTCAGACTCTGCACTGATTGTTGAGCTATGACCAAGTGAGCCACAGAATGTTCTAGAAAATGAAGCTGGCCATTGAAGAATGAAGAGGGCATTCAAGAAAGAGTGACGGGAGAAGAGCGTTCTCAGGTGAGGGAAGAGTGGGTACAAAGGTGGGCAGGGCCGAGTGTGGGCAGCAGACTGGCCATGGGCGGAGCAGGCCCTGAGGCCAGGCTGCCGGAAAGGCCTCGGGGTACCGTGCCCACCAAGCCCTCTTTCTGTTTCACTGTCTCTCCTGTGTTTGTGACTTCACCTCCCTAGAGCTCCAGAATGCCTCCTGAGATGCTGCCACCACCCCGTTTTGTTCCAAGCCTCCCTTACCCACTGCCCTAACCCTTGCCGCCCCCACCCTGCCAGTCCCCGCAAACCACTCCTGCCCCTGCTGCCTGCGATAACCTCTACCCTGCTCTTACACTTTTTTCTGAACCTCCTTGTGTCTGGGTCCAGGTGCCCTGCAGGCTGGGCCTCCACTCCAGCTTGCGGCGACTGGAGAGGCCTCTTCTGCAGCCCTCCGTGCTGTCGTCTTACACTGGCAGCTGCGAGAGTAATGTCATGGAGGGCTCCTCAGTGCCAGGCCCGGTGCCGAGCACTAATGCAGGTTGATGCGCTGTCTGCTATAATGGCTCTCTGAAGGACTGTAAGGGTTTTCATTTGCCAGATGAGTCAACTGAGGCTCAGAGAAGTGAAGTGACTTGCCCAGGGCCATACAGCAGGTAAATGGTGGAGCTGGATTCTCCCCAGGAAATCCACACCCTCTGCTCCAGAATGACCACCGGTTGCTGTGTTGGAGGGAAGGGGCCCAGTCCGTACCAAGGCCCCTGCCTGGGCCAGGCCTCACTACCCACCCCACCCCCCACTTCCTCCTGCCGGTCAGCCCAAGGCTCTGGAGTCTCTGGGCAGCTGTGTCAGGGGCCCATCCTGACATTCATCAGCACTGGCTCTGTGAAGGGTTTAATTAACTTCCTGTTTCAATGGAGGATAATGAGTTTTAAGCACCACATGACTCCGTAAGGAGGTCAAAAGGCAGTGAGGATGTCAAAATAAATTAAGTGAGGAATCAGGAGGCTGCCTGTGAAACGGGCAGAGCAGAAGCTGGCCCAGAGACAGCTAGCTGCTGCCTCGGCCACCCCAGGCAGGTGGGAGCAGGTGGGTGGGCTGCAGCCTCGGCCACCCCCACCGTGAATGGGTGGCTCTCGCCTTGGAGACTGGGCGCAGGCAGTTCTGCCTGCAGCTGGGAATTCCATGTGGGGGACAGTAGA